CGAGGGTGAGCCACCAGGAGTCTAGAAAGTTCTGGACATTATTTTGATACCCAGTCTGACCTCCCATGCATCCCCCCCCAGAATCTCTGCCTCCTTAGACTCATGCCTCTCCCCAGGGCTAAGGGCTTCCAGCACCAGCGGATGACGAACGGAGCCATGAACGTGGAGATTGGGAACCCTACATACAAGATGTACGAAGGAGGAGAACCTGATGATGTCGGTGGCCTGCTGGATGCTGACTTTGCCCTGGACCCTGACAAGGTGGGCTGGAGGAGAGATTGGAAGGGCTTCCAGGGTAGGACTAAGAGGCTATGGGTAGGGTGATTTAGGGTGTCAGGTTGGATGATGGGTCAGAGGTGGGGTGTGGGGTACTTGGGCCACAGAGCCCAGCCCATGAGCCCCACCTGAACCCTCTGTTGCTTTACAGCCCACCAACTTCACCAACCCCGTGTATGCTACACTCTACATGGGGGGCCACGGCAGCCGTCACTCCCTGGCCAGCACGGACGAGAAGCGAGAACTCCTGGGCCGTGGCCCTGAGGACGAGATAGGGGACCCCTTGGCATAGAATCCTGCTCCATTGGACTTCCCCCAGAGAGCCCCTGCCAGAGAAGTCCTTCATTGAGCCCCCTCCCCAGCTAGCCCTTCCCTGGCCCTGCCGGATGTATAAATGTAAAAATGAAGGAATTACTTTTTATATGTGAGTGAGCAAGCGAGCACAGTATTATCTCTTTCCATTCTCCTCCTTCCTGCCTGCTCCTCAGTACCCCCCATGCTACCTTGTGAGGGCAGGGAGGGCTCTGGGGGCTCCTGCAAGTATGAGGGAGCCCACCTCCTACTTTCCCACCAAAATGTACCCCCCTGGGAGAGCTTGTGGTGCAGCCCCCCACAAGACACTTTGTCAAGGTCCTACTCTTTCCCCCTCCAGTTCCCCCTTTCCCAAGTCCCTGGGGGCTAATTCTGGGGAGATAGAGTTCTCTGCTGCCCCTGTCTGGAAGATTTGTCTCTGGCTGAGGTAGGAAGGGAAGAATGGAGTTTTTTAGTTCTTGGGGAAGAATGCCCCAAGACCTGACCCCTACTCTTACGGGCACCTCAGAGATGACCATGCTCAGTAACCTCCCAGACAGGCCCCCACTCTAGTGCCCTCACAATGGCTCCCAGGGCTGGAAACCTTCATTGGTAACAGACCCCCAACCTCCCTTCCCCTGGGGATGAGGAAATGGGGCACACCAAGGAAGGGCAAGTGGGCAGCCCCGTTTTGGGGACATGAACGTTTTAATAATTTTTGCTGAATTCCTTTACAACTAAATAACACAGATATTGTTATAAATAAAATTGTAAAAAAAAAAAAAAAAAGAAAAAAAAGAGAGAGAGAAAGAGAAGCTGCTTGTGTCTGCCTGCGAATGTGATTATGGGCTGGGCTGCGCTTTGGGGCTTCAGCCACCAGAGGGAGCCGAGATCTTACTGAAGGCAGGCTTGAGTGTCCTGCTCTCAGTTCCCTTCTCCTGGAGCCCCTTCCTTCTCCATCTTGCTATAGCAGGGAAAGGGGATGGTACTGGACTTGGCAGGAAGGACCTTTTTCTCCTGGATATGTGACTTTGAGCCAGTGACTTCACTGCTCTGAATCTTGTGTGCCCTCTGGCTCTAGGACACTAACTCTGCATTACCACTTCCTTTGGATACCATCACCCCTCCTGCCCCATATTATCAACCACAGTAAAAAATCCCACTGGAAGGAATGAATATATTGGGTTGTGAAGGCTTTCCAGGTCTTCAAGATGGTCCCCTGTGGCGTTCTCTGCCCACATTTGCTCTCAAAGTATTGACATCTGACTTCATAGAGACTGATCAGATGCCAAGAGTAGAACCCTGGATTTAAGTGGGAAGGACTGAAGGAGAGCTGGACACACCAGTTTGCCAGGCCCATCATCCTTCAACAGATCCAGCTCACCAACCATTTCAGACATTCTAGAAATTGACAGAGACAATTTAAGTTGTCCTTGCTCAAAGAGGGGAGCCTCTTTGGAGAAGGTCACACAGCTTCACACCCCCCAGGACTGAGGGAGGATTAGAGCCCCACTCCCCCACAACAGCAAAATCAGAAGAGTGGCTGCAAATGCCTGATGATCTCTTATCCAGCTTCCAAAGGGAGAATATTGCCTTTCATTCCCTTACTGGTTCAACTTCTCCAGGATATGCCTCCCTGGCTTTCTCCTTCCTTGGAAAAGCTTCTGGGTTTAAGCACCTTCAGAAACAAGAACCCATCCCTTCCTTCTCAGTCCTGAAATTCCCATTTCCAATCTCATCCTCCAAGCCAACTCTGAGATCCACTTCCTCACCCCCACCTTCCTGGACACCTAAGGTCCTGGAGGGAGCAAACCTCCTGGGAAAAAGAGGTGTCCTTGTTAATTACTGAGAGACTTGTGTCCCTATATGGCCACCAGGTGGCATTAGAACTCCCGCTGCGCTGTTTATCCTGGAACCTAGCACAGCCCTCTCCTCAACACACTTAATTATGCACCTGTGGGGAACCCAGGCCAGCCTCTCACTTCCCCGCCCCGGGCTATTTTGCCATACACCCCTCCATCCTCTGCCAGCCAGCTCCCCTCTCTATCCCAGCGCCTGCCGGCTCACCAGCCCCACCCGCTCACCCCTCCCTCTGCCAGTCGTGCATCTGGCGCCCCCGCGGGAGCCACTGATTCTCTGCTTGTCGCCTAAAAATCCTGGGCATAGGGAGAAGGGCTCCCAGCTGCAGCTTAGAAAGCACACCCCTCTGGTAATCATCCTCCCTTTGCTGGCCAGGACTGGCTAAGAGAAGATCCATCAAGAGTGAACCTCCCAAACTCCCCATCCAGCAAGGTGGGAGGAGCCTACAAGACAGAACAGAGCCAGGGACAGAGGCTAATACAGACTGATATAGATTCAGAGATGGGAAGATATAGGGACACAGGCAAAGACCCAGAGACAAGGAGTAGTGAGTGTGTGTGTGTGTGTATGTGTGTGCGCGCGCACGCGGGTACAAGCCCAGTCATGTACCTGTATGCATATACATATGTGTGTAACCACAGGGAAATCAGGTGACTTGAGGCTAGCAAAAGGAGGATAATGGGATGGATTGTGCCTCCCAAAGTTCAGGACCTTGGTGATGGGCTTCTGTCATAAGCACCCTAGGCCTGGGTGTGCCCACTGCTGAACTTGGCACTGGGACCCAAAATTCTGGTTGGGGCCATCTGACCTTATGCCTCTCAACACCTCTGTCCCTTCCTTCCTCATTTCTCTGCTCTGTCTGTACCCAAGTCCCTGCTTCCTGGCTTCTGTTTCCCTGAGTGTTACTACTTCTGCTTCATCCTCTCGCCATCCTTGTCTTTTCCCTCTTTTTTTTTTTCTTTTTCTTTTTATGTCTGTCACATCCCATATCTGTCTGTCTGTTTCTTTGCATATGCCTGGTCTTGTCCTTTGGACTGCCAGTGCCAGTGTACACCTGTGTGTACGTCCATCTTTGTGGATATTTGCCTCTCTGCCAAGGCAAGGTGGAGAAGTGCTGAGGACCTGGTTGGGTGTGCTCATCTCTTGGCCCAAGCTTGCATTTGTCTGTCTCTGTTACTGTGAGCTCCTGTGTGTGTGTGAATCAAATGTATCCACTGTGTGTTGATGTGCATCTCTGAGTGCTAGTTTCTGTGTGAATATATTTTGCTCCACATGTCTGTGTTCACCTCTACCGTGTGGTAGGCCATACCAATGCATCTGCGGCATGCCTGGAGGTTGTGTGCATTCAGGTCTCAGGGCATGGACCTGTCTCTCTATTTCTTTGCTTGTTCCCATCTCTCACTGCCTAGGGTTGGTCATACCACAACCTCAGCCTCAGTGCATAGCAACAGCTGACAGCTGAAGATTCCCTGGGCAGGGAAGACAGAGACTAGAGGGAGGAGGGCACTGATGAAGAAACAGCAGAGAGAATGAGAACAGAGACAGATGCTGGGGACAGAGACAAGGACAGAAACAGACAGGAAAGGGGAAAAGGATCAAGAAGAGGTGGTGGTGGAAGATGGGACAGTGGAAGGGAAGGGATAGGCTACATCAAGACTCTGGGCAGGCGGCATTGAGCTGGACTTCCCATGCAGCGCCTATGCAGTGGGGCGCTGTAAGGTGCAGAGGTCAGAGTGGGTGGGGGTCTAGGGACAAAGGTGAATGGGCCAGTAGAGCCTAGGGGTCCTGAGACTGCAGAGGTGCCGTAGGGCGGAGGTGGGGGGCGGCGGGCGCCGTTTGTCAGCCCTATTGACAGACGTGATGGGGTTTCCGTCTGTGATCAATGATTCTCATCTCCGGGCCGAATGAGCCGCGGGGCGCCCATCCATCCCCGTCAGCGCAGAGCCACGGCAGCCGCCTGAGGCCCCACCCCGCCCTCACCCCGGCCCCTGCCCTGCTCCTGGCCCCTGCCCGGCTCCTGCCCTGGGACCCACCTTGGCCCAGGGCATAGACGGGCCCCTGGACATCAAGGGGCCCTGGTCCTGCAGCATCGCTGAACCTCGCCAGATTCCTGCTCCGCGGTGCCCCCTTTACACGAACAGTCCCAAAGCCTCGAGCCCCACGCCCTTTCCTATTCCTCGTCGGTGCACAGACCCGGCATCTCGAGGGCGCGGCCCCTGAGCCCCTCAACCCTCCCCGCTTCGCACCTGGACCAGGGGCGTGTCTGGGGCGTGTCGGGGTGAAAGTCACCTTCGGTGCCCCCAGCTGGGCGGGAGGGGGCGCGCGGGGCGCGGCCGGGATTGGAGCGCCGCGGAGCCCCGCCCCCCCCGCCCGCCCGAGTCAGACCCAACTTTCTCCCCCGCCCGCGCCCCGCCCCCAGCGCCGCGCTCCGCTCCTCTCGTTCAGTCCGCGGGCCGCGCCGCCCGCTCCCGCCGCTTCGGCAGCCACCCCGCCGCCCAGCAGCCCGGAGCCCCGCGCCCTGTCCGGCTGTCCCTGGGACCCGCCCTGACCGCCCAGCTCGGCCGCCCGGGAAGATGCGACTGCTCGCGGAATGGCTCCTCTTGCTCTTTGGCCCTTGGCTTCTTAGGAAGGTAAGGGCTGCAGGGCTGAGGCGCGAGCGCTGGGGGTCCTCGACGCGAAGGTCCCAGAGTACTAGAGGATCTGTGCGCCCGCCCCGCCCCCAGCTCCGAGCGTCCCAACTTTGCGCGGCGTGGGCGAAGCGGACAGACAGACTGCTCGCTTCAGGACTGGCACTCTCCCAGCGCAAGTTGGGTGAGGGTTGGGGCGGGGGGTACGGGTGGAGGCCCTACCCGGATCCGGCTTCAGGCGCGGCGGGGGAGGGGACGAAGCGCGACCCGCGAGTGCGCCAGACAGAGCGGGAGTGCGAGACAGACAGACAAGCCAGCCGGGTGTCAGCCTTGCCGTCTTTCCGCGCCAACCTCGCTCGCCTTTCTCACTGTCTGTAGGTCCTTCCACCCCTCCACCCCCGCCTTCCCATTTCTCTTCTCTGCACTTGTCACAATGCCAGGTAGGCGCTGTGTTGGGAGCATACACGGCCCGGGCACACGCTCATACACGGACCCACACGGACACGGCTGAACTTGGCTACAATCTCCCATAGCATTTCCCGCGGAGACACCATCTCCCCTGTATAGCCTCACAGACACACCCCCCTCTCTCGACCCGCGATGGGGGCTGCTGTCTCAGGGACTCTCTCCTCCCTGCCCCCACGCCTCGCTGCTGCCTCTTTCCCCAGGGTTCTCGGAAAAGGACCCAGAAGCCAAGGGGATCCAGAATCCTGTCTCCCTCTCTACTTTGAAGCTTCAGCTCATGTACACAGTGTGCATGTGTGGGTCAACGTGTGGGCTGTATGCCTGCATGTGTCCAGGGAAGCCAGGCTTGGATGTTTAGCCCTGAGGCCCAGGGTGTATGTGTATGCTGAAGTGTCAGGGTAGTGATGTTGGCGTTGCATGGATGAGTGCAAGTGCCTGCTTCACAGTGCAGCCATCTGTTTGTGCCCAGGTGTGTGTCCCACAAAGGGGGCCTAGGCCCTTGCCCTCTCCTTCATTAGCCTCCCTAGTCATGGTTTCCCTGTTTCCTGCACCTCAACGGGTGACCTACCTGGTTTAGGGGCAAGCAGGTTGCTCTCTAAACCCCCACTCCCTAAGCCCCAACTCCCAGTCCATATGGAGTCTGGAAAGGGTTCTCCCCCAACACTTGGACCCCCACCTGCCCAGCCCAGTTGCCCTCAGCAACTCTAGCAAGATAGGGGCTACTCCAGTGAAGCTACCAATAGAGCTCTCTAATTCCCCCAGACCCACCTGGTGACCTTGAGGAACCCCCTCCATGAAAACCGCTTTCACCGGTGGAAGACTCTTTTGGATTTGCTGCCCAACACTAAATTAGAGGTCTACAGAAGGGTGTCTGGCCCACCACCACCCTTGTGTGAAGGCACAGGGTCAAGAGGTGGTAGGGATGACACTGCCCTGCCACTCATTTCTACCTCCTCCCCTCTCCTCTTCTCCTCTCCTCTTCATTCTCCCCATCAAATAAACTCCCCAGTGGACAGATCTGGTTTAATTTTCTTCGCCCCCTGAAGGGGAATGAAACATCTGGTGGAGACTTGAGGGAGAGTGAGAGTGAGGATATGAGCGATGGGACCTATCTGAGCGTATGTGAGAGCTGCAGCTGTAGGGCCTCTGTGTTGAAGTCAGAGGGAGAGAGATATCTGCCATTTAGTCCAGTTTGTGTGCATGTGAGGATCTGTTTTATGCGTGGTGTGTGTGTGTGTGTGTGTGTGTACACACTGTGAGTGTATGAATATGTATAATTGTGATGGAAAATGTGTGCAGAGAAGTGTCTACATGTCTAAATACCTGCCTATGTGCTTATGTGTATTGGTGAATAGAGTGTGTGCACATGTGTAGGCCCCAGGGACTTTGGTGCATTTCATGCTGGGGCACATATGTCATCTGTATATGAATCTGGGGTTTTTGAGTGCATCTGTGTGTTTGTTTTGAGTGTAGTTGAATATAGGTATGGGGTTGTAAGCTGCAGATGTGTTCATATATGTGAATGTGATTTATGTGTGGGTATGCCTTCAGGGATGTCTCAGTGTCAGCACTGGGAGTGGGGAAAGGTGAGGCTGACACTGGATGAGAGGCTCATGGGGACAGTTTTCACAGTAGCTCTTTGGAAACCCCTAACCATCAAGCACTACCAGCCCTCTTCTTCACTAGTCCTTTCTTCAGGAGTTCTCTGTCTTCTTCCTTCCTGCTCTAGGATCCTGGTCTCTCAGGGTCTGGGACTTCTGGCTTCTATTGCCTTACTGCCAGGGCTGCTTCAGGATCTTTCTAATATAGTGTCCGACTCCTTTCCCTCTGTATCTCTGATTCCCCCACTTTTGCCAAAGCAGCTGCCTACTGGGAGAAGCAGCAGGCGATCAATAGTCACTAATCACTAATCACTAATTACTAATTAGCTGGGGGAGGGCAAGGGAGGGGCCCTGTGGGACCTTTCAGCTCTATCCTGCCTCAGGGAAGGATTAGGCCCCAAAGCCAGTCTTTCAGAGCTGGCTGGCCACAGCCCCTGGTCCAGCCACCACCTCCCATCTCCTTACCCTCCTCTAGCCCCCCCAGCTAATCTCTGGCTGGGCCACTTAGGCACGCACAGCCTGGGCTTGGGCCCAGAGCTGCCGGCAGGGATTTGGGGGTAATCAGGGGTGGCAGCTGTGCTAGGGACACAGGGAAGGGGGCTGCTGTGACAGTTCCCTGGGGCAGAACCTCCTGTGGAAGCCCCACATCCTGAATGGGAGGGGTGCGGCTGGAAGGAGAATTTAGAGGATCATGGGTTGGGATGAGTGAGGAACTAGAGATCCAGGAAGAGATGACTGACAAAGAGGTAAGGTAAGAAGGACAGAAACAAGGCAAAGAGGGGCCACTGGGGTCAAAAATTGTGGAAGGGTAAAATAATTCCTGAAAGCCAACAGCAGGTGAGGGGGGGGGTGTCACTCACAAGGGTTAGAGATGGAGTAATTGGCCAGGAGATGGGGAACTTCACACAGAGCCCCTGTAACTCAAGGCAGGCATGCGGGAGGGGAACAAGGTAACAGAGAGGGGTCCTGTCATGGAGGGAGGGATCCTCCCTTGGGTGCAGGGAAGTCGGAGGGCTTCCTTGAGGAGCGAGCTATGGAGCAGGGATGGGGAGCAGGGAGTGCGGCCTTGAGCGTAGGAAATTGGCAAATCTCACCCTCTCCCCCGCCTGCCCCTCCTCCACCCCGCCCACTCCCCCTCCGGCTCCGGCTTCGGGAAATTACATCCCCGCTCCGCGGCTCCCCCCCACCCCCACCGCGCCCCCGAGCCGGCGCCTTTATAGGCACATTTATTGCAATAATAAAGTGAGGCGCGGGGCGGGGGGTGGGGGGCGGCCGTTCCCGGGGGGACCGCGCCGGCTCTAGGAAGCAGGGAAATAAAATAAAATAAAATAAAATCAAAATTCAGATAACGGTGAGCCTTGCGCGGCAGGCCGCGAGCAGGCGGGCAGGCGGGGCTGAGGGGGAAGGGGCGCCCGGCCCAAGGGCAGAGCCCACCCCACCCCACCCGCAGTCCCCCGCCCCAGCTAGCTGTAGTAGGGTCTGGAATAAGGTATCTTTGCCTCCACCCCATCACCCCCGCCACCCCCGGCCTCTCCCAAAGCCTGATCCTGCCTGGCCTTCTGCCTCTTCCTTTGGCTTCTCTCATACCTGTCCTCAGCTTCTATCTCTGTCCATGTCTCCAGTCACTTTCCTTGCCCTCTATTTCCCATTCCAGTCCTCACTGGCTTCCTCCATCCCCATCTTAGGTCTCTGCATCTACCCTTATCCCTGTTTCTGCTCAATAACCATCCTTCTCCATTTCTGTTCTACCCCTACTCTGTCCCCATTACCATCTCCCCATTCCCAGTCCCATCTCATTCCTGTCTGACCCCAATGCCCATTCCTCATCTATCATCCCTACCCCATTTTGGCTACCATCCTTTTCTGTACCCTTTCTCCATTCCTCTGATCCACACCCCATCTGCATCCACATCCGATGTGTCTCTGTCCAGTGCCTGTCCACTATTTCTGTTCTCCTCCGCATCCCTGTCCCCATGTCTATCCTTGTTGCATCCTTGTCTCTGAATTCTGTTGCTGTGCCTTCCTAGTCCCCAATGTCATTCCTGTTCCATCTCTGTCTCAGTGCTCACCCCATCCTGTCATGTCTACCCACCTCTTGTCCTAACTCCCTTCTGTATCTGTGATTCCCAGCCAGACTTCACCCCATCCTGATTGTGATGCCCTTGTCTCTTTCTAGGAGCAGGGGCTTAGTATGCTCTTTCTCCCTCCCCACTTCAGGCCTGGATCATTCTTTTCTCATCCACAGGGCACTGTTCCCTCCCCCAGCCAAATCCTGAAAACCCTGACCCATGCAGAGAAACGACTGGCCCAGGGGAGGTGCACCCTGCAATGCGGCTGGGGGCTGACAGACTATCCCCTGCCCCAGCAATCTCATCCCAAAAGAGCCCTCTCCCCCAGTGGAGCTTGTTCTGTAGCCAGAGATGCCTTTAACTCCCCTCAGGTGCATGGGCTCACTGCCTTGGGGGCAATGCGCCTCTGGCTTGGCTCCTACCCTCTTGGGCCTGGAGAAGCCTGCTGAAGCACCCCCCCCCCAGCTACCACACACCTCCCCCCCACCATGTGCTGGCAGTGGTGCTAGCCTCTCCCCTCCGCAAATGTCACCGCGCCCAATTAGCTTAATTAAACCAGCTCTGCAGCGTGAGGACCCCACCTCAGACAACACCCTGCTTCCGCCCCTAGTCGAGGAAGGGGAGAAGGGGTCTAAGCAAAGAGGAGCTCCTTTACCACCTAGTTACACACACACACACACACACACACACACACACACACCACTGCTACAGCCTGAAGAACAGAAGACTGCCTCAGTTAAAGACAGAAATGGGGGAGGGGGGACAGAATCCTGGAAGATAGAAATTAGAGGCAGAGACAAAGTGGAGGAAGAAACAGAAAGAGTGAGAGAAGGGTGGGGAGAGAGAGAGATGAAAAAATAGTGGAAAAGGGAGAGCAAGAGAGGGAGAGAGTGCTGGCGATCAAAGAAGCCAGAGGGAGGATTTTATTTTATTTTATTCCATGTTCCCATTTCTCGGCTCGTTTCCTCACAGACTCTCCAGCGCTCCCTGTCTAACCCCCACCCAAGGTCGCTTTGGCTGCCTCCCCTCAACTCTTCCCTTGTATCTGGGCTGTCTCCAGCCCCTGATGTGTGTGGGGGGGTGTAAGTGTCCAAAGCCCAGGGATTTGCCAGGATCATAGAAGCAAAGACAGCAATTTGTCTGGTATCAGAGGTGGGGGTACCTCTTGTCACCTTTCCCTATCCTGTCCAACCCCATTTCCTCCCCTAGTCCCTGTCTCTGAGGAGTCACTGGACTGAACCACTCCTGGCCAGGTCTTGCTGCAGGACATAAAGCATGCTGGGGTGTACTGGGGTGCATTTGGAGTCACAGCATGTGGGGAGGGGACTTGGATGTCTAGACTTTCCTGGAAAGAGCAGCAGTTGGGTTCAGAGGGTTAAGATTAGGGGTCAGAGTTCAATAATGCACATCTTGACTTTCTCCCTAGAAGCTTGCCCACTCCCTCCTCCAATGCCCTTTCCAGGGCTCAAGCCTACCTCTTGGATTTTGGTCCTTTTCCCCTGAGAAGTCTCTTCTCCCTGCCCCTGTATGCTAAGACTTCTTCCCCCAGCCCTTCTCAACCCCACCAAGCCAGCTCAAGCTTGTCTGTCTGAGTCAATCATTCTTGCTGCCTCCACCCCCCTCACCTGGGCTGGGAGGAGGGTTGCATGGGAGGAAGGAGGAGGGGGGCGATAAATATGTATGACGACCGGGTGGTGGCAGCATTAATAACCTGGGATCGCAGTGCTGCAGGGAAGGGGACCAGGCGGTAGAGATTCTAGCCCAGTAGCTTGGCTCTGCATTCCTGTCCCCTGCGGACACGTATTGTGTACACATGGGTGTGTGCAAACAGAGGGGGCACCTACACTGTTCAGGCCTCCTTATGTACCCAAAACTCTTCAGCCTGCAGGCCAGTATGTCTCCCTCATATACAATTCACATACACACACACACAAGAACGCAGACCATACTTGTACTGTCACTATGGGTACACCCCCTCTAGAAAGAGCTTTAGACATGGACAGAGGATGATAGGAATTCACACAGGAAAAGTGACAACCTCCATACCACCAAAGGTAGGCATATAACAAACCCAGACACACAACACAACCACCACAGACATTACTACTACAAATCGACACACATAGCCTCACTGGTATCAACACACAGACACACAGCCAATCCAAGCACATATACACAAATCACCACAACTGATGTACATCCACTACAAGCAGGCATAGACACACACAACCTCCTCAGACTGATATACACAGACATACAAACACACAGACTCACCACAGCCACACCAACCGCCACAGACTGATACATATACAGTCTGTATCAGTTTGACACACCAGAGCAACTCTGGGTAGAAAGACACACACCATTTCAGGCTAACAGGAACACAGCCATCCCAGACCGACACAGACAGTACTGTTCCCCCACCCCCAGGACCTGAACGAAGTCAGGGCCACACCAAACAGCACAGTGGTGGCTAGCACAGGCTGACTGACACACTCTGACACGCTCTCGGTTCCTCTCCCTCCCGCTCTCCCTGCTGGAGCGGCATCTCCATATTTCTTCCTCTCGCTCTCTCCCCTTCTCCTTCACTCTCGGCCACCCCCCACCACCACCACCCAGATAATTGATGGCCCGGGCCTGGCCCGGATGCTCCCGCCTCTCGATCCATCTTGTACTAGCGCCCGCGCTGTCTCCCAGATCGGCCGCCACCTGAGACACAGAGACGGTGAGCGGGCGGGGGCAGTTCCTCCAGTCCTCTCCCAGCCCAGGGAAGGGCGGTCAGGCGGCCTCCACCACAGCAGGAGCGCTGCGGATTGAGAGGGGAGCCCGAATTGAGAGGGGAGCCCATTTAGCCCCAAGCCTCAACCCACCGCACGGGGACTCTTCTCCATAGCTCAACCGGTTCTCAGCGGCCCTTCCCCGCTGAGCAGTCAGGGCTGAGGCCAGGAAGCGAGCTCTAGTCTCCGCAGAAGCTGGGAGGTCTTCCCACCTCTTTCTTGATGCTGTATGTTGAGATGGTCACGGCCTCACATGCTCCACTCCAACTCTTCCGTGGCCTATTACTTGGAACCATCCATGGGCCAGGTGAGGAAAGAAGGAGCCCTCCTGGACCCATTCCCTACTCACACCAATGCCCACACTGGATTTGGCATTTGGGTTCATTTTGGAGCTCAGTGGAGAAACACAGGGATTCTCAGGTCATCTCACAGATACTGGAAACTGAGGGCTGCAGATCTATTCCAACATCCACTCCTGAACTACCCGCGGAAGACTGCATGTGGTCTCCTTGTGGCTGCAGAAAAGGGCTGCCAGGGTAGGGCTCAGGCAAGGTGGCCAGGGCCCACTCTAGCATCTCTCTCTTCCCTCCTCTTTGTTCCTACACAGGTCGTCAGTGCCCAGATACCAGAGTCGGGAAGGCCGCAGTACCTGGAGCTGCGCCAAGCTACTCCAGGAGGGGGTGCCCCTGGCCAACAGCTCCCTGCGTCCAGGTCTTCTGACGGCCTGGGGCTGGCCGGCGCCTGGAGCTGGGCCTGGCCTGCTAACCACACGGGGGCGCTGACCCAGGCGGGGGTGGCCGGGGCGCTGCCGGCTCAGCGCACTAAGAGGAAGCCGTCCATCAAAGCCGCACGAGCCAAAAAGATCTTCGGCTGGGGGGACTTCTACTTTAGAGTGCATACCCTCAAGTTCTCGCTGCTGGTGACCGGCAAGATCGTGGACCATGTGAATGGTACCTTCAGTGTGTATTTCCGCCACAACTCCTCCAGTCTGGGCAACCTCAGTGTCAGTATTGTGCCACCTTCTAAGCGTGTGGAGTTCGGGGGCGTCTGGCTGCCTGGGCCTGCCCCCCACCCACTACAGTCTACGCTGGCCCTGGAGGGGGTGCTTCCTGGGCTGGGGCCCCCTTTAGGGATGGCGGCAGCTGCGGGACCGGGGCTTGGGGGCACCCTTGGGGGCGCACTGGCAGGTTCACTAGGCAGCGCTCTGGGAGTGCCCGGGGCCAAAGAATCACGCGCTTTCAATTGCCACGTGGAGTATGAGAAGACAAACCGCGCTCGTAAGCACCGCCCGTGCCTGTACGACCCGTCGCAGGTGTGCTTCACTGAGCACACGCAGAGCCAGGCCGCCTGGCTCTGTGCCAAGCCCTTCAAAGTCATCTGTATCTTCGTCTCCTTCCTCAGCTTTGACTACAAACTGGTGCAGAAGGTATGCCCAGACTATAACTTCCAAAGCGAACACCCTTACTTTGGATAGCTCCCCTGGCCCGGCCCTGAGCATCCCGCCAAATCCCAGCCTCTGTAAGTGGGACTCCTCCCGATATCCCTCCGCTCCTGTGGTCTCCTCCACTCCTGCTGCGGAGTGCGGCGGAAGGGGACAGCCCTCATCAGCCAGTGTTTCCCTTGTCCTTATGGGGAGTGCCCATGAGGCTGTAACCCCCTCAGATACACCTTAACGTGGAGAGATAAGGGCGCAGCCCTAGAATGGGCGGGGTTTGGAGGTGGTACCAGGGTCCTCTTAGTCCACACTGGATCCCCTTTTTGCTTCTGGCGCTGGGCTGGGCACTCCCCTTGCCCGTAGCTTTAATAACAGCTTTAATAACACCTGGCCTGGCACCCTTATCCCACCCAGACATTCTGGCCCCCAAGCGCTTGTTCTCCTGTGCCCCTGGTAAAGACTAAAGGTCTATTAAACCCCTGGCCTATCCTTATCCCTCTCTGCCTGCCGTTTGCCTGTCCCTTTTTCCTCCCAACCTCGCAGAAGCAGAACTCCTAAGCAGGGGCACTCAGCCCGGCCTCTGCCCTCTGCTTGCTTCCCTCTTGTCGGTGCAGTCCAGTTCCACCTGCCCTCTCTGGCTGCTTCCTCTCGGTGATATTTTTTTTTCTACACCAAAACAGACGGGAAAGGGAACAAAATAAAGTGAAATCCAATACGTGTCTGTGTGAGACCTTTGTAGGGAAGAGGAAGACAGATGTGAATTTCTGTCTGATAGAGACCTGGCCAGGGCCTCCTCCATCCGTGACTGACGGGGAAACTGAGGCAAAGGTGACAGAGCTAGCACCTTGGAGGTCATCCAAGACTGGATCACAGAGAAATGTATCAGACCCTTGGAGTAAGAACTCTACCTGGGGTGGGGATTCCCCTCTCTGCAGAGGGCAAAGCGAAGCTGTTGCAGATAGAATGAGTGTTAGACCTGAGTGGGAACTACCAACGCACTATTTGGGATGACTTGAAAAAGAGGGAGATTCAGGGACAGAATGGGCAGAGCGCTGACAACCTGCTAAGCTCCGCGGAGCTTGGAGGAGGAGGTAGGTTGGAAGGGAGGGGGAACAGTGTTTGCGGCATCTGGAGTCATCGATCTTCCTTTTCCTTCCTAATTTCGTGGGCGCTGAGTTTGCAGACGGACGTAGAAGGGAGGGAGCGTTGGGATGACAAGATGGGGGAAGGGATGAGCGCGGGTTTGGAGGGCGGGGCCTCGTAGCCGCTGCTAGCCGCCAGCAAACACAGCCCCTTTCAGCCAGCTGCCCACCCTCTCCACCCGCGCCTTCAGCTCCCTCCTGCAGCCTCTGCTGCTAATTTTATCCGCCCCCAACCCTGGCCCGGGCGCTAATTGGCTGCGGCTTCATTAGCAGTTCTCAGCTCAGCAGCCCCCCTCCCCTTGGGACCCCCATGACTGGGGTAAGAAGGGGTGCAGACAAGCTGAGGCACAGAGGAACAACTCCTCTTCATCCTGCTTTCTTTCTGAGAAGTCCGGGGTCAAGATGCCCACAGGCAGAGATCAGTGCTCACCAAGGGATTGCCCACTGGCTCTGGCCTGACAATGACTCACCAACATGCCTGAGAGTGAAAAGTTGGTGAGCAGAAAGTATATATCAGATGGATGAATGGATAAATAATGGGATCAAGTGAAAGACGGAAGATGGAGAGAGGTTCTGGGTTAGAGATTGGAGGAAGAATAGCAAAGAAGTCTCCTTACACAAGGCTTATTGCTGAGAACACCTGGAAAAGCTGAGAGCCAGAGTGGGAAGGAAGTTAGATCTAGGGAGGGACTCTGAGGCCTGATATGAAAGACAGGTATGAATGAATGGAATCAGCAAGTTAGCCTATCTAGGCCTCAATCTCCCCAACTGTAAAGACATAATAAATAAAAAAAGTCACATTGCACCTGTTGAATTTTGTCATCTGTTCACTTCTTGATGTCCCAGTAGTCAGTGAGCTCTTCTGGAATCTCAGGGCAATGGCATGCTGGCATGAAGTAGAAGGTCAATATGTGTATTGAATTAATTTATGTGCAATGGTACTGTGTAATGCAATGGTTTTTTTTTAATATTTATTTTTAGTTTTCAGCGGACACAACATCTTTGTTTGTATGTGGTGCTGAGGATCGAACCCGGGCCGCACGCATGCCAGGCAAGTGCGCTACCGCTTGAGCCACATCCCCAGCCCATGCAGTGGTTTTTAAAACTAATGCTTATCAGAATCATTGAGAAGAGGTTTGAATGTGTCTTTGAAATTCATTTAGAGCACCCTTCCCCCCCCCCAGTCATTTGGAAATCTTTTGTTGAAGATATCAATTAGGGCTGGGGTTGTAGCTCAGTGGTAGAGCACTTGCCTAGCACGTGTGAGCATGTGAGCACTGGGTTCCATCCTCAGCACCACATAACAATAAAAGAAATAAAGCTATTGCTCTATCTACAACTAAAAAATTATTGAAAAAAAAAAGATATCAGGGGCTAGGGATGTGGCTCAAGCGGTAGCGCTCTCGCCTGGCATGCTTGCTGCCTGGGTTCGATCCTCAACATCACATACAAAGATGTTGTGTCCGCCAAAAACTTAAAAAAAAAAAAAAAGATATCAATGAGTACCTTACTCAGGGGTTTTATCCAGATACAGTAAGGCTAAAATTACTCAGGGGTTTTATCCAGACACAGTAAGACTAAAAGGAAGTTCTCTAGCCAAGCACAGTGGCCAACCCTGTACCTGTAATCCCAGCTACTCAGGTGACTGAAGCAGGAGGATCGCAAGTTTGAAACCAGCCTAGGCAATTTAGGGAGACCCCCATCTCAGAATAAAATTTTAAAAGGGCTGGGGATGTGGTTCAGTGGTAGAGCCTCCTGAGTTCAAGCTTCAGTACCATAAAACAAATAAATAGATAATAAATAAATAAATAAAGATGACTCACTGAGTACAGGATATCAAGTGGACAGGTAACAAAATGGAATAACTGCAACAGGAGGGGACGCCTCATTCTCCTTTAAGGTGTCTGAGGAGGAGAAAATAGCCTTGGAGGAGGAAGCAGTTTTGTGACTCAGAGGAATAGGAGGAAGACAATCCATGGAAGCTCATGTTTACATAAGTCTCATTTCATCCCCACCGCATGATATTTTATTATGACTTTACAAATGAAGAAACTGAGGTACAGCAAGCTAATTTCCTACTACCTGGGGTTGAAACTTGAACTCAAGTGTCCCACCCTTTCAAACCACAGTGATTTCCACAGCACTACCCAATCTTGTATGGGAGTCTCTGGATTTCCCAGAGAGCCTAAGAATACTCGATATTCAGTAGATATCCAATAAACTCTTGTCTTAACAATTGACAGGAAAAAGAAATCCCGGATATCTTCAGGATAGTTAGAATATGTAGCAGTCCAGTATTCTTTCAAGCAAGGTTCTTTAGCCTTGGGGCTACAGATGTGGAATGAAGCGGAAGAAAACTACAATTCCCAAAAGGCCACAAAGGTGGCACCATTGCGCACGCGTGTTCTCCTTCCCTTGCCGGGCTTCTCGGGTCGTTCTCGCGCATGCGCTCTCGGAACGGTGTTTTCCAACCTTTTGCTACTCTCCGACCAGAGTTGGTGGCTGTACCTCCTGCGACGTGGAGTTGCGATGCTGCCCTTTTCTTTCCTCCGGGTGGCTCGGGTAAGAACGGGGCTCCGGAGACTGGATAACCAGTGATTAGCCCTACTTCCTACCTTTGCCCATTCACAAACTCTCGGATTGTCCTGGCTTTTACACTGCACGTGTTCTTGGGCCTCAGCGGATGTGTAACTAGGGAATCCCTGAAACTCCCGGGCGCGCGTGGGGTGAACTGGGTTCTCTCTTCGTTCTGGCAGTCAGATGCCCCAGGGCCTCGTGACCGCCCATTTAACGTGGCATTAGGGGAGAGGACTGCGCCGGCTGCTAAACAGACACTGTGCTGGCTAACGAGTGGGTTCTCGTCTTCGACCCGCAACCCGAGCCTTTCCCGCCAGCTCTGGAACCATGCAGATGATGCAACCAAGCCCCACAGCTTTCATCAGACAGGGGTCCTGCGGCAGTGTGGGCTAGAAGGAAGTGTAAAGGGCGGGGGGGGGGGGACGACGGTGACATGGGGACAGGATATGTGTTGGGCCTCCCTGCGGATCCACCCCTTCCCCACACATCCTCCCACCCCCAATACCTCTTTCCCAGGGACTGCTTCAGGTCTGCCCTTCCACCTCCATTGCTCTGGAAACCACCTCTACAGCCTGTGGCCTTAACCCCTGTCAGTTTGGTCTCTTCTCCTGACTGGGGTATCAGTTTGTGGAGGCCCTGAAGAAAGGCCCCTTTGTTCCTATGGGTGGGGAGGTTCTGGAATCTCTGGCTCTCTCCTGAATTTGGGAGACAGGGGCTTCTGGAGAATAAGCTTTGCCCTGTGGCTTTGCAGAGTGGCTCATGGGTTGAGGTGGAGAGAGAGTCTGAGGTGAGGTGAGTGGAACGAATCAGAATTACCCCTCTGGACATTGATCTCAACCTTGGATCTAGAACTGGCTTTTAAAGGTGGAGATGGGGGTGGAAAGAACTGGAACAGTCTGGCTGGACAACTGGCTGCCTGGTACAGAGCCAGAGGGCTGTATAAGCATGGCTGGGGGTGATTGGGAGACTATTTGTTTGGACAATTTTTTATTTGACCATAGCTTTTCCTGCCCCTAGCCTCTGCAGAGATGTGACCAACTGGTCAGGATGGCTACTCGAGCTCAGCACAGCAAGGTGGCCCAAACTCAGACTGGAGAAGCAACCACAGGTTGGACAGGCCAGGAGAGTCTGTCAGACAGTGACCCTGAGATGTGGGAACTACTACAGAAGGAGAAGGACAGGCAGTGTCGTGGCCTGGAGCTCATTGCCTCAGAGGTGGGAGCTGGGGAGACAGGGTAGGGGGGTGGGTATAGGTAGTAACAAGCTATCTTGCCAATATTTCTTCAGATTTCCTTGTCAGACTCAGGGCCTTTCTGCTGGGCTTTATTTCCCTCTCTTTATTCTCCTCTGAAGCAAAAGCAAGGCCAGTTTATGGATATTTGGGCATTAGGAAGTTTACAGAGCCTTCCAGAGTCCCTACAGCTTCAACTATTCCCTCTCTGCCTCCCAAGAGGAAAGAGGAGCCTGGAAACACAAATTTGAGTGGACAGGTGACCTTACTGGGAACAACATCATGGCAGCTGAGTTTCTGAGAATGCTCCTTCTGGCCCTGCCCCATGCTTGGCAAAGAACCCAGAATTAACAGCTTTTTGTACAGCCTGACTCCCCCTGCAGCCTGCAGGCTCTGGCAGGGCGGGGCTATGGGGGTCCAGGGGAAGGGACTCAATACCTTCTGACATTGCCCCCCCATCACCCCAGAACTTCTGCAGCCGAGCTGCGCTGGAGGCCCTGGGGTCCTGTCTGAACAACAAGTACTCGGAGGGTTATCCTGGCAAGAGGTGAGGGCTAGGCACCAGAGGGCTGGAGGGCAACATCAGGGATGGTGCTCCCAGTGGTGGAACCTTCCTGTACCCTCCAGTATTTATGGAGCAGTGGCCTTCCCAGTCCTTTGCTGCTGGTCTAGAGTCCTTTTTCTGTGCCCTTATGTACCTCTCTTCATGGCAGATATTATGGGGGAGCAGAGGTAGTGGATCAAATTGAGCGGCTGTGCCAGCGCCGGGCCTTGGAAGCCTTTGACCTGGATCCTGCTCAGTGGGGAGTCAATGTCCAGCCCTACTCAGGGTCCCCAGCCAATCTGGCTGCCTACACCGCCCTTCTGCAGCCGCATGACCGACTCATGGGGTTGGACCTGCCTGATGGGGGCCAGTGAGTATGGATGGGGCAGATGCTGGGCTGTAGACAGTACTAATGTGGCAAAGGAGTTATTGCATACCCACTGTATTCCATATCATACCTCTCCCTGTCCTGCATGTTACAGTGGATGAGGAAGATAGGATCGCAGTCACATCAGTGTCCACCACAGAGTGGACAGAGCAATGAGATGCAGCAAGCTCAGGACAGACATTGGAGATGGGTAGGAAGGGAGTGAGGAAGTTGAGTTTTTACACTCTGAGACCTCCTTATTTCGTCTCACTTCCTAGTCTCACCCATGGCTACATGTCCGACGTCAAGCGGATCTCTGCCACATCTATCTTCTTTGAGTCTATGCCCTATAAACTCAATGTGAGTGCTCTAGGGTGTAGGAGGTAGTTGCCCAGGCCCTGGTTCTGCTGGGCAGTGGGGGGGCTAGAGCTCTGGGCAGCCCTCAGGGTTAAGGAGGGACAAGCACTATTGCCATCTCAGGCCTTTAGCTGTTTATCTGTCTGTCCAGCCCAAAACCGGACTCATTGACTATGACCAGTTGGCAATGACTGCTCGGCTTTTCCGACCACGGCTCATCATAGCTGGTACCAGTGCCTATGCTCGCCTCATTGACTATGCCCGCATGAGAGAGGTTGGTGGGGGGCTGGAGTACTGGCACTGTCTCAGGGTTTGGTGGAGAGATTGGGGGGTAGCATTGGGTATGCCTGTCTGGGCCCTCCCCAGGCTGAGGCTTATCTCTGTACCTGTCCAGGTGTGTGATGAAGTCAAGGCACACCTGTTGGCAGACATGGCCCACATCAGTGGCCTGGTGGCTGCCAAGGTGATCCCCTCACCTTTCAAGCATGCGGACATTGTCACCACCACCACTCACAAGACTCTTCGAGGGGCCAGGTCAGGTTCCCTGAGATCATGCCTTGCCTTTCCCTGCCTTCACACCCTGCTCTAGGCTGGATCTGAGAATTCCTTCCTACCTATACCCCGGAAGACTTCCATTTAGTCTGTGATGGTTCTCCTTTTCTTGCTTTTGATGGCCATTCCTTGGCAGGGGATTTGTGAGTGGGAGTGAGGGGCTGATTCCCTCCACCACTGGAATCCACTGTACAAAGGACAACTGAGGGGACTCTGAGAGGCCTCGACAGCCCAAGCCAGCCAACTTCCTCTGATCTCCCCAATCCTTATCTTTTATTTTTAGCTTAGATTCTAACCACTCACCTTCTGCACAGGTCAGGACTCATCTTCTATCGGAAAGGGGTACAGTCTGTGGACCCCAAGACTGGCAGGGAGATACCTTACACATTTGAAGACCGAATCAACTTTGCTGTGTTCCCATCGTTGCAGGGGGGCCCACACAATCATGCCATTGCTGCAGTAGCAGTGGCCCTAAAACAGGTTGGGGAGCCTGCCCTATGGGGGTGGGGGGGACATTGTTCCCGAGACTTAAATGCTTCTGGTAACTAAAGTTGAAGCTGATGGAAGGGAACTGCCAGGACGGGAGGTGTCAAAGCTGGGGTCCTGGAGCCATGCTGAGTGTGAAGGGGCAGAAGAAGTAGGACCTGGGGCCTGGAGTCACAGGTGCTACTGTCTCATTCCCAGGCTTGTACCCCCATGTTCCGGGAGTACTCCCTACAGGTTTTGAAGAATGCTCGGGCCATGGCTGATGCCCTGCTAGAGCGAGGCTACTCACTGGTGTCTGGTGAGCCAGGGGGCTGGGTGAGGGCTTTTATAGCCTCAAGCAGGTGCACCAGACTCTCCACTCCCTGATTATTAACCCCCTCAGGTGGCACTGACAACCACCTGGTGCTGGTAGATCTGCGGCCAAAAGGCCTGGATGGGGCTCGGGCTGAGCGGGTGCTAGAGCTTGTGTCCATCACTGCCAACAAGAACACATGTCCTGGAGACCGAAGTGCCATCACCCCTGGGGGCCTGCGGCTTGGTGAGATCTGGGGCTCAGGGAGGGAAGGACGCCCACAACGGGTGACCTTAGTTATACTAATCCTTTTTCCTGCCTCTCCAGGGGCCCCAGCCTTGACCTCTCGGCAATTCCGTGAGGATGACTTCCGGAGAGTTGTGGACTTCATTGATGAAGGAGTCAACATCGGTTTGAAGGTGAAGAGTAAGACTGGTAAGCAGACAAAGAAAGAGCCCCCTAGCCAGCCTCTTTACCTCACTGTGCTCCCTCCCCCAGCTGATTTCACTGCCTTCCATACAATGCTAACCTTTTTTTTTTCCCTCCTCACCTCTCTAGCCAAGCTCCAGGATTTCAAATCCTTCCTGCTCAAGGACCCAGAAACAAGCCAGCACCTGGCCAACCTCAGGCAAAGGGTGGAGCAATTTGCCAGGGCCTTCCCCATGCCTGGTTTTGATGAGCGCTGAAAACACCTGGGAATCAAGGCCCACAGACTCGAAATTACTACCCCTGTCCCCCGCCTGCCTCACCTGGGCCAGTGGAAGGGCATACTACTTACCATTCTATTTTTTGGTGGAGGAGGTATAGTCCCCCTTGCCAGAATTTGTAGCTGATGTTTCTTTTTTGTAACTAGATTTAGAAGGAGCCCCACTCTACCTCCAGCTTTCTGCCCTAATCCTCTGCCATTATCAGTATTATATAGACTCTTGCTCTTTCTTGAGGTGGGAGAGTTACCCAGCTGAGCCAGAGGAAGGAGTGGGTGGCACACTTCCTTTTTTTTAATGTAATAAAATGCTCACCTGCCCAGGAGTTTCTATTACTGTGGGAGGGGTCCCCTGGGCCAGCAGATGATTTGACTCCTTCAAAGTGTGTTCCTCCCTTCCCTACCACCACCACCACCACTACTACCACCACCACCACCACAAGGCCCCAGGAGGCTGCAGCCTCCTCTGTGTTTCTGATCAGAGCGGACACCAGACGTGATTAGCAGGCGCAGCAAATTCAATTTGTTAAATGAAATTGTATTTTGCCCACGGCTGCTTCTGTTTGATCCCCTGGGACAGAAGGGAGCAAGGGAAGGGAGGGGAGAGGAGCAGTGGGAAGCTGCTGGGGGAAGGCCAGGTGCGTACAGGGAGGGGGTGCTATTGGTGTGGGAGGCAGCAGGCTTGGGCAAGGGAGGAGCATGTAACATGGCATGGGTGCCTCAGCCTAGGCAGGCTGGGCATAGGCGACGAGCCCAGTCGAGCCTGAGCAGCACCACCCCTGGGCAGGCACCCAGAGCCTGGGTTAACATGGGGCCTGCCACGTCTCTTGGCACTCAGGTCCCTGCTTGCTGTTGGCTCACGTAGGCCACGCTTAACACGTAGCTTGCACCACACCCTGCAAGTACAGGGTAGGAGAGCAGAGGGGCTGGCTTGGGCCCTTTGGGTTGGACCCAGCTGCTGCTTGCCGCCCTGACTCCCCTCCCCCATGTGGGACTCAATCCAAGGGTCAGAGGCGCTTCCGCTGATGGGAATGAGGGAGGATGGTGGGGGTTGGAGTTGCGTTCTCTGCGTGGGAACCAAGCCTGTATAAGCAGGAACTTGACAGAATGGCCAGACTGATGCCCCAGGGTCTGAGAGCAGGGAATGGAAGAAATGAGTGTGTGGTTTACATCGAACTCATGAACCCAGTCTGTTTAGAAGTCTGGCCGGTCCTTCTTCAGCTTCTTATAGTCAGTGGAAACCGCAAGGAACTAAGAGGAGAGGGAAAGGAGAGTTGTCCTGACAGACCCATTTTGCCCCATAGGGGAAGCACCAGGAGATGAGTGATGGGCAAGCAGCCCTAGTCACCTGGAAGTACCTTGTATTGGTCATTGGGGCTCAAACGGTTCCAGGGTTCTGGGTTGTTCTTCCGGTCCCAGCTAGGGAAGAGAGGGGAGTGTTAGAGTCTCTAATCTGGGACTGGGTTCCAGCTAGGGCTCTACCCCCACCCTAGCACCCCCTCCGTGTCTCCTACCTTGGGGGCCCATTTCCTAGAGACCGATGGGAAGGAGCATGTTAGTGGGTGCTGACAAGTGAGACAAGAAGCTTGTCACATTGTCAGAGTGAGGCTTGGTGACAAGACAACCCAGTCCAGGGACTCCCTACCCCTTGCTTCCTGCTACCCTAGGTTAACCCCTCAGAGCAGAGTTTTGGGAATTGGGCAGATCTCAAGGGGCAGGGGTTTCAGTCCTTGAATTTGGACAGTGCAGTGGGTAGGTGCATCTTTTTATGAAAGCAATCAATCTTTGCTGCTTCCCAGCAGGGTGTTAAGTCTTAGCACCTCCCCAGCCCCACTGACACCCCCAATAGCTCACCCAGCCATACCCCCAGTCTACCTGCAAGGACACAGAGGTACCCAAAAGCCTGCAGCGACAGCAGAGCAGCGTTGCCAAGGCAACAGGGCCTTGGAGCCACACAGGTTCAGCTGGCTCCAAACTAGCAAGTCTAGCAGTCAGGTGGGATAGAAGGAAGGCAGGGGTCTCCCAAGTCAGGGTTCCAGCCCCAAGATACCAGATGCCTTGGGATTCCTGCTAGGGTTACGGATTCTCATTGTTCCAGAAAGGTCCAAGCCTTCCCACTCTACCTTGCCACACCCAGGACCCTTGCTTGCAATCCCAAGCCCAGCCTTTACCATACGTCCGGGCTGCGTAGGGCCAGTCTCAGTAAGTAGAGTGCAGCGCTGCCCATGCCCAGGCCAATGAAACCGATCATTGGGATGAGCTGCAAAGAAAACAGGGCAGGGTCAGCCCCCTCCTCATAGTTCCCATTAACTTTACAAGTTAAATTTTTTTGTCTGCCAAACCACCCAAGGTCTGGTTCTGTGGTCTTCCTTACCCCTCAGCCAAACTGTCTGAGGTAATTTCCAGGGATATGGAGGCATATTGCAGGGATAGATTGAGGAGGGGTGTCTCCAAGGGAAGATTTGGAGCACTGGGGGAACTGGGCAGGAGGCAGGGCTCTGGAGGACTTGCAGGGTAGGACAGCATGAGAGTTAGGAGTTAGAATCCCAAGTTCTGAGGACTGAACTCACCCCCGGATGTCTTTTGATCTGCCGGTAGAAGCGGGCCCCTAGACTGGTTCCTGCCATAACGCCTTTCCAGTGTCTGGTGCTCTTCTGTGGCTCTTCTCTATTCCTTCTCCTGGGGTCCGCCCCCCACCAGGGAGGGGTCAGCCTAGCCCAGCCCGCTGGCGTTTTCCGACACCACACCACACCCAGCTCGCTTAAGCCCGGCAATCCCAAAGCAGACATGGGAATTGTTGGGAAGTCAGAAAGTATCTGCTCCCCAACTCTCTCCTCTATGTGCCTGCACCCTGACCCATGGGACACTATCATACTTGGGGCTTTAGGTCTCTCAGAGAGGGGCCCCACAGGCACCAAGAGACTGACTGAAGGGTGATACAAAAGTGGGACAAACTGACAGACCTGCAACAAGCACGTGTGAAGTATTCACAGGTGGGACCAGAGGGACGAGGGACCAGTGAGGGCATCTGCAGAGCTTTCCTGACACCCCTCACCCCTAGAGCCACCCAGGAGCTACCAGTTACTGATGATCCTGGTTCTGCCCTATATCAGAGTAGTGGGAGAAGGAGTGGGATGGATGGCCTCACTAGAGTTGCCCAGCCCATCTTGTGAGCAGTTTCTCCAGGTTGTGGTTGCCCTGGAAAGATGCTTGGAGGCTGGATAAGTCAGGTGTATCTGAGTCAGGATAGAAGGTCAGTTGTGGCAGTTTGGGAGTCTGAGAGACTTGACTTCCTTGGCAACCTGGGGTAGAAGTGAAGGTGGAGCCCCACTACCACCACCAAAGAGGCTACCCTCCACCTCTGTCTCTGGCTGTAGGACAAGAAGAGAATGGAGTGAGGAAGCCAGCAAAGATAGAAAAGATGAAGTAGGAAAAAGAAAAAGGCACAGAGACAGAATTGCAGAGTGATTGCCTCTTGTTCAGCCAATTCAGGTGTATGCTACACTGCCAGGATGGAAAGGCTCCAACCCCCGTTTTTTTGGAATTTGGAAGTGTTGGGGAAGCAGGAGCCCGCTTCATCCGCTTTTTCCCACTCCCACGCTAACCTCAACCATCAGCTCCCGCCTCTGCCGCTGGGATCTTGCCGAGGTCTCCCACTTCTATTCTCTGGTACCCGCCCTATGGCTGCACGGGCAGGGGCGAGCTGTGCACCCGCCGCTGGGCCCCTCAGGGGTACGGAAAAGGAGAAGGCTGTTCCTGAAGACCCCCTCCCCTTCTCTCACACTGATACCTCCCCCGCCCTGGGCTGACAAGCGCAGCTGTAATTAGGCTGCGGGGTCCCGGGCTCTCCGCCTCCCTCCGGCGGATAATGAGATAAAGTGTCAGAGACATGGCGAGAACAAAGAGACAGAGACTCGCTGCGATGTGTGTGTTGGGGGTGATGGTGGAAGAGGGGTGCTGACGGGAATGTCAGAGCCTCCAGCAGCGCAGAACCCTCCCTGAGCGCCCGCACCTCCAGGGCTGGGCCAGGGAGGAGGTGTCCTGTCACACACAGAGCCCCTCAGCCCGCTGGGCTAAAAATCTCGGAGCTCTAGCTAGAGCGGCTGCCCAGCTGGGCTGCACATCTGGCGTTCTGTGGCACAGCTGAGGAGTCAGAACACCGGGAGGGATCCTTGGCTCTTGCCCGGGTTCCTTTGCTCTGAGGCCCTCACTTTCTTCCCTCCGCCCTTTCTTCTGAGTTCTGGTGACACAGACCCTTGGTCCCGCTTCTTTGCTACAACTGCTACTGTTTATCCTGCTTTGGGCTTCAGCCGGCTTTCTGACCCTCCAATATTGGCTTTCCGTGACTCCTTGGCTTTTTACCTGCTTGTGGTCCTAGTTTCTGTGAGCCTATTCTTCTTTGGTTCACATCCCTGGACCATGATCTCTGGGGCTGAGCTGGAACACAGAATTTCTGGGTTCTCTTCCCCCACCTTCCTCCCTCTTTCTCTCCCTACCCGCCCCCGCCCCCTTCCCTGCACTTTCTCACCACAATGACTCTGGAAGGCCCCGCTGGCCTACCGAGGTGATGGACCGCTGGAGACATTAGCCATGAATTAGGCGCGTCCTGGGGTCGGGTCCGGACCAGACTGAACACTAAATTCCACTAGGACCCAAATCCTCTAGCTGGCAGCGCAACGCGTCAAACACAGGCTCGCGGGTGCTACCCTGTTCCCGGGATGGTGGTCGCGAGCGCCCCCTGGAGGAGGAGCGGCTCCCAAACTCCGGGGAGAGGCCTTTGGCTCTCCGGTCAGGAAGTGCCGGCCCTTACATGCCCAGTTTTCGGGCAGGTAAGTCTAAGCCTGCAAACGTATAGGTTCACTTCCCACGGGTCACTCCCGCTACGCCCGCCACGAAGACAGTAGGTCCCTCAGCTTTCACTCTTCTGGTGTGAGGTGGGGCCACAGACCGCAGAAGGGTCTTGGAGGATTGCTGCGGAAGATTGCTGTAAGCAGCATCCCAGCTTCAGGCTGGTTCCTCTCACCATGCCGGACTGGGACGCCCACTCTGGGGCTATAGGTCCCGAAACTCACACTCTTGACTTGGCCTGCCTCTGCCCTTCTTTCTTCTTTGAGTCATTTGTCTGACTACCTCTGACTCTGAGTGTGTCTCTATGTGTCTGTGTCTCTCTGTTTCTTATATTCTGGTTGTGTATGTCTCCCTGCTGCTCTCCCTTTACCTGGCTTTGTCCTTCTGCATGTTTCTCTTTCTTGTGTGTCTTTCCTTTCCTCTACATTTCTCTATCTCCCTGTGTCTATCTTTACAAACGCCTTGCTCTGTCTCTCTCTGTTTTCCCCCTTCTCTCTATTCTCCACCTCTATTCCTATTCTCTGGCTTGCTGCTCCTGTGAGGCGGCAGCAGTCCAATGGGACAGCCTGGAGACACCTCAGTACACTGCTCAGGGTCTCCCTCCCTGGTCACCTCCACATGCCCATCACCTCGGAGTGGCCTCGATCTTCCTGCTGCAGCTGTGGGATGTGGAGAGGGCGCCCGGAAGGGAAACAGTGCCCAACAGCTGTTCGGGAGCCCCGGGCCCCCTGACCCTCTGTGCCACTATTAAAGGCGCGGGGTCCCGAGGCTCCAAGATGATCATGATTGCATCAGTCAGACAGAAGCGGAGCCGGGAGCTGCGCGGCGAGTGAGCAAGAGAATGAGACAAAGACGCCGGTGCCATCTGTTTATGCAAAGCGCTCTCCGCCAGGGACCCCGGCGTCCCGGTGTTTGGCTCAGCTCGGAGCACAGGGTCATGATCCGCTCCCGCCCGGCGCCCCCCGTTGCGTCTGGGCTTTCCCCCTCCACAGCACCCAGAGGGGCCACCAGGCGAGCGGAACGGGGAGGGGGCTGGGGTGTTGATGTGATTGGAGCGGACGCGGCTGTTTCTTCAATAATGGATGGAGATGATGCGGACGGCGGAGCCGAGCCGGTCGGGAGAGGAGAGAGGAATAGAAATAGGGAGAGGAAGGAGCCGGGGCGGGAGACTCACCCAGTCACGCGCGCGTGCGCATATTCACATACACGCGCATCGCACTGTCATTCGGATGTATACCGCCGCCGCGCGGCTCACACCCAGCACACGCCCACTCACTGTCACCGAGACACACACCTGCAGGAGGAGATGCTGGAGCAACACACACTCACCAGTGGCTCTTCCTGATTTTCACACATACAGGCCTGAAGGCAGAGACAAGGAGATGCTTGCACGCAGCTGGGGCACACCCAGGCGTGAAGAGCGCATAAATACAGACACACCAAAGCACATATCAACATCCAGACACCTAGACACCCTGGGGCTTGGAAATCAGAGATGAGCTTGGGAGTGGGAAATAGGCAAACCCAACAATACCTACTTTCAGGGACAGACACAAAATCAGAGCCCATAAATGGACATAAATCTGGAGCTCACACACCCAGGGCACAGACAACACACACCAGGAGTACCGGTGCTCATAATTGTCATGGGCACAGAAAGACCTTACCACCCACAGCCACTCAGAGACTCAAACCTACACATATTCAGGAGCTGCCATCTGTGCTCCTCTGGGTGAAGTGTGGCTCAGAGGTCGCCAGGGCCCCCAGAGCAAACCTTGTTAGCCCAGCAGTGTAATGAGATAGTGCTGACAGGAGGCACCTGGGGCTGTGGACTCAGAGGCCTGTAGCCCCCTCTTGGCAGCCTGGAAGCTTCCCTCCCTGGTCCTCAGAGAGGGTGGTGTGGTCCTTGGATATCCACTGCAAGCAGTCCCAGTGGGTTGCTGCCCTGACTCCTGCAGTTGGCAGGGTGCAGGTGAGGAAGGTGGGGTAGGACCACTGGAGGACAGTGGCAGCTGCACTGGGAGATTCCCAAGATCCCCCAAGAGGGCTTCAAAGTGAGAGTCCCACCTCTTTACCCGACCTTCACATCCTTGCTGCCCAATCTTCTGACTTCAAGACTGGACAGTAGAGAGGGGTAGGATGCAAGTTGAGTCTTGGACCCTAGTACCCTGGCCCTTTCTCTGATCTATTTTCAATTCAGTCTGCTCCTTGGCCCAGACTTATGACCTTTGCAGTGTGAGGCAGCATCATCCATCACCCAGGCGGCTGCTGTGGGAATGGGAGGCGCTGGGGGCTCAAACAGGGTTGCTGTCTTGCCTGACGCCCCCTCCTGGGACTTGCTTCTGGCCCGCGGGCCAGGGCTCAATCGGCCTGGAGCTTACTGAGCAGAAGAAGGGAGTGATCTTGGGGCTCAGTTGTGATACTGTGTCTTCTCTCCCCACCCCTGGCACCCCAATACCCCTCCTTCCAGCTCAGCACAGTCTGTTTCCCGGCTACTCCCGCCCCCCTTCTCTCGGGCCCTTTGCTTAATTTCCTATTAACTGCTGATAAATCCAATTAAACCACCGCTCTAATTAGGGACAGCTGCCGGCTCGGTAAGGCGAAGGAGGGGGGCGCCCCCCGAGTGTAAGGGGAGAACAGCCGCTCTCCCTGCTCCTCGATACCCCCATACCAGCATCGCCGCCCAATGAGCCAGTAAATTGGTTTTGCTTCAGCTGTGTGTGTGTGTGTGTGTGTGTGTGTGTGTGTGTGGTCCCGGGAGAGAGGGCCTCCGGTTTTGAGCCCCTCAGACCTCTTGATGAATAGAGGTGATCAGAGCCCCGCTGCTGTCTCTCCTCTCACACACTTGTGATAGGCGGATCCCGAGGAGGGATGGGAGTAAAAGGTTGACTTGTGATTGTGGTGTGTGCGTGTGCCTGTGACCTGTCCCTAACCTAACCCATGCGTGATTAAAACGGGTGCTGCCTGAGTCTTCCTGAATGACCCTGCTCCCTACCCCCGCATCCGGGACAGTCAAGGGCAAAGGGAACAAGAAACTGAATCCAGTCCTGCAGCGAGTCTTGCGTGTTTCCCTACCCCCATCACTTCAGCCTTCTGTAAGGAAGAGGCGGGGAGGGGGAGAACGCCCGTCCCGGGCCCTCCACTTCCCCAGCCCAGCTGAGCCTCTGCCCTCCCTCCGCCAGGAGCAGATGGTGCCCGAGCTCCCGCTGCCAACCTTGCTAGGCGGTGCCAACCTCAGTCCTGGCAGACAACGGGCTGACGAGAAGAGGAGCTTCTGGCTGGCCAGGCTGACCCTCCCCCACCCGCCATCAAGCCCAAGACCCTCTGCCTGCCTCACTCCAGCGACCACCCTAGGCTGCCTCTCACTGGTCGGTTCCCAGGTCCCCAATCTCCTCGTCTCCTTCTGCTCTCTTCCCCACACCTTCCCGCTCCTCGCCACCTGCCGCCCTGACCAGGGCCGGCGTATTTGCATATTTGCATATGCAAATAATAACATTTGCATACAGCGCGCCGCAGGGGGTCTCAGCGGAAAGCCAGTTAGCTGTCTGCCCCGAGTCCTCACACTCAGTACCTGTCGGAAAGGACTAGGGCAGGGGCCGCGAGGGAGGGGTTAGGCCCCCCGGCCTCGCTAACTGGGTTCCCGGAGGACTTGAGGAAGTGTTGCCATGGAGACGGCACGCACCCCACCCCCTCCAGGCCCAGGGTCTCGGGCTTGGTGTCTCTCGTTTTCTACCCTTGTCCACCCGCTACAGCCTGTCCCTATCCTTCGCTCTCCAACCGAGATCTTGCATCGCCCCCTGGTGGCCTAACTCGGCGCTGAGCCAGTTTCTAAAATGCAAAGGGCCGCCCGTGGCTAAACCTTCAAGAGCTGAGATACCTATCTTGACACGCAATCCTGCTTCCAGCAGTGGGGGCTCTGGGATGACGACTCCAGTCCAGCTCCCCCACCTATCCCCCTGCCTACCATCAGTCTCAGCCCAGATAAGTTTGATACCTTATGGGAGAGACTGGGGACAGCTGGAGAGGATTCCCACTCCATTGCAGGCCTTCTCCTCGTCCCCAAAGAACAAACTTTTCTAACTTTTGTCAAAACTTTATTTGGTACCGCGGATTAAGCCCTCGAGCATTTTACCACGAGCTACATCCCCAGTTTTTAAAATATTATTATTATTATTTGTTTTTTGAGACAGGGTCTCACAAAATTGCTGAGGCTGCGCTCGAATTTAGGATCCTTCTGCCTCAGCCTCGCGATTTGTTGGGATTACAAGCGCACACTACAGCGCTCGGCTTGTCAAAACTTTAATAAATTTGCAGCATTCAAATAAGTTCGTACCCGCAATACCCCTGGACGCCTCCTTAGTGGAGATGTCTTCTCTCTCAAGATGGGCGAGAAGTTGCGGGCTGCTCGAGTACCAGGTATCCGAGGCCCTAGGCCAGGGGTGGGGAGGGAGGCAGGAACCAGTCCCTTCCCAGAGCCTTCCTAAACCCCACGCCCCCAGCAGTCCAGTTGCTTTTGTCTCTTTTCTCCCCAACCTCCACTGGGCCCGCCCAGAATGGGGATGGGTGTCTCCCGACTGCAGGCGCCCTCACGCCTAAATCTCCTCCAGGAAGTCGGTGGGAAACAGCCCCACCTTGCGACCGGTGTAGACCTTGACGTAGCCGCCGGCTTCGTCTCCTTTCTGCACCACGATCTAGAAATTTAAGTATTAGAGACTAAGACAGGAATTGAGGGAAAAGGCAGAAGATGAGAGCAGCGGATCTTGGGGTACAGAAGCTCGTCCTAGTCTCATTAATGGGTTATGATCTCCAAGGAGTGTGACCCGCTGAGGAGCATTCAGGCTTGGGATTCGGTTGGAGCACCAGAGATACCTGGTCCTTCTTGAGAGTGATCTGCCCTATCTCGCGGTTCCCCACGAAAGATCTTGTTACACGGTGCACGCGTTCTCCAGCGCGAACTCGAATGATGAAGTTTGGAGGGAAAAATCCAACCTTCTCCCCGATTTTCCCCTAAGGAAGACAATGGGGAGATTCAATCTCTCACTTCAGGTTTTATATTTAACACATACCCCACCCCTAGCCCCTGCCATTTCTCTTACTCGCCACCACTCCTCATTGGAGTCATCAATGACTGTGATCTTCTCTCCGGGCCTGGGAGAGGAAGGAAGAGGCCTTTAAGATTTAGTCGCCTGCCTCATATACCACTCCTTGGGTGTGCCCCGAAAAGTCCAGCCCAAATAGGATCCAAGCTTGGGGTTCCCCCTTTTCATTTCCCATAGGGAGTCAAGCTCTCCCTTCTTCATTCCCCAGTACTCCCCACCCTCTCCTCTGAAGGCCTCTCACGGAAAATCCAGATCGTCCTTTTCCAGGGCTTTGAACCGATAGAGAGCCACAAAGTAATGAGACTGCTGGAAGCCAGGCTGCTTGTGCTGGGGATGAAAGGGGGTGGGGGTAATGCGTTTCAGGGCTCCTCTTTGTACCCCACATTGAGGAGCATTCTCTAGACATATTACATTCCAACTCCTAAGTCTTGAGCTTAGTGTGTTTGTGTGTGTGTGGGGGGGGGGGGGGGGGGGGGGGGGACTGGATGTGGCAAAGCAAGGAAAAGGGTGATGGGAACTTCTGCTGAGGCCATACATGGTATCAGACCTGGGCTGGGGAGAGGACTGGGATCCTTACAGGGAGAAAGGATTCTCACTTTGTCATCAGGTGTTTTCTCAGCCTTCTTGTTCCCTTCAGGGTTACCTGGGATGGGAAACACAAATGTTTTTGCCTCCTGGAGTGTAGGCCTCATTTTCTTTCCCTTGTGTTGAAAGGCAATCTCTCTTTTTTTTTTTTTTTTAAGCCTGGTCCACCCCTTGCCTCTCCACTCTCTGTGCCACACATAACTGAACCCCACACATAAACCTACCCCATTTCTGTAGATAGAGGTGGTTAACACTCACCATCCTGGGGTTTGCCTTCTTCTGGCCTGGCAGACTCTGGCTCCTCCTCCATCATGGCTGCTAGAGGCTGAAGGGGATACCAGAGTTAGAGAAATATTACCTTTGGAACCCATGCTTACCCTGGCTCTCCAGTCAGGCCAGAGAACTATAGAATAATAGGATCTCAGGGTTGGAAGAAGGAGGAAACATCTAGTCTAACCATCTGCTTAATGCAGAGACTTCTTCTGAAACAGCTGGCAGGTAGGTCACCTACCTGTGTTTGAATGTAGCTAATGGCATGGAGTTTACTACCTTACAAAGTAACCCTGTGCAATTTTAGGGCAGTTCCCTGCCTTGAGCCTATGTTATTCTACCTGTAATCTTCAGTTATTAGTCTTGATTTGCCCTCTGGAGCTATAAATGTGAAACAAATATGGCCTCCTTAAATAGCTGAGGAAAGCTGATATGTCCTTTCTGGCTTTTCTTCTCTAATAATTTTTAGTCCCTTCAAATCATCCCCATGATTCCAGGTCTTTCATTGTACTATCTGCCCTTTAAAAGTATTCCACTGTGTAAGAGAAAAATAGGCTGGTGCAGTGGCACAGGCTTATAATCCCAGCAATTTGAGAGACTGAGGCAGGAGGATCACAAGTTCAAAGCCAGCCTCAGCAACTTAGTGAGTCCCTAAGCAACTCAGTGAGACCCTGTCTCCAAATTAAAAAAATAAAATAAAATAAAAAGGGCTGGGGATGGAGCTTAATGGCAAGCCCCCTGGGTTCAATCCCCAGTACCAAAGAGTGAGGACGGGGGAGAGGGAAGTGGGCAGCACAGTTTTTTTTTTTTTCCTGAATTAATTTAAAAGAACAGAATCCAAAAGTATGCTATCCTTTCTGGAAGCAAAGCTAAGGTTTTGTAAATTATAGTTCACACCACAGAAATCCCTAATCTGTGCCCAACCTTCTCAAACAGATAAGTATATTTTTCTTAAAGAAATTTAAAATTATAAGTTTTGGCTCTTTTAGTTTGTAAGAATTTAAAATATATTACTCATTATATGTTTTCCCTCTTAGCTTTCACACAACTTCATTTTTATCAATGAGAAAAAAGGTCATCAATGAGGACCATGGACCAAATCATGTTGTAAGGCCTCAGAAATCTCCCTTTAGTTGGAAACTCCTAAAGGACCTAGACTCTTTGGTATACTGCCATTCAATCAATCTGAGGAATTGATCCAACTGTAACTATCATCCATATTAGTCCATAGTGGTTGTTTAGAAAGATATAAATTCCTTGCAGAACTGAACACAAGTCTATATTACCAATCTAGCAACTCTATTATAAATGGAAATGAGGCTGTTCTTGGCCAATAGCTTTGTGCTTCAGTTTCATCATCTGTAAGATGAATGGGTCAAACTGAATGATCTTCACAGACCCTCTTTGTATGGCTCTAGAATTTTCTGATTACTTGGAAATGACAAATTCTTTTCCCCAAATCCAAAAGCACAACTCATGCCTCTGTTATCCAGCAATGCCAAGGACATGGAGCCTAGCCTTCTGTGGTATTTAATCTGACAATTTCAAAAGGGAGTTGAGAAACACACTATATGACAGTAGTTCTTAACCAAGGCCCATGGTGAGCCACAGCATGTGCATAAAGTCCTCTATATTTGCATGCAAAGATGTGTCTGTTAGGAATTGTGCCATTTTTGGGGAAAAGGATTTATAGTTCCTGTCAGCTTTCCAAAGGGGAAAATAACCTGCCCCATGGAATTCCTAGTAGGGACCCAGTAGGAATGTATGAGGCTCACATTTTTTTTATCTGCCTGGCCCTTCTTCCGTTCCTTGTTTGCCATGATTACCCCAGTGCGCAGAGTTTCAAACACAGGATCATTGCGATTGGCAGCAGCTAGTGAAATGGAAGAGAAGGAAGACATTATAGGGGAGGCAGAGAAAGGCTTGGAGAAAAGAGACCTCCTAAAGAAGAGAGAAGTGGGAGATTGGGTAACTAGGTATCCATGGTGACTGTGTATGTGTGTGTGTGAGAGAGAGAAAAAGAGAGAGGGAGAAAGGGGAGGGAAGGGTTAGAGAAGGATTAGCTGCATAACACTAATCTATAAAGGGTAAATGGTCCTAAAAAACATCACTGGAGCCAGGCATGGTGGCACACATCCAGTGACTCAGGATGCTGAAGCAGGAAGATTGCAGGTTTGAGGCAAGCCTCAGCAACCTAGCAAGACCCTAAGCAATTTATCCAGACCCAGACTCAAAATAAAAAATGGAAAAGGCTAGGAATGTGGCTCAGTAGTAAAGTACCCTGGGGGGGCTCAATCTCTATACCAAATAAATAAATAAATAAATAAATAAAATAACTGGAAAAGTAATATAATAGAGAAAAAATATTGATCAGAATTCCTTCCAGACAAATTTTTTTTGGGGGTGGGGTACCAGGGATTGAACTCAGGGGCACTCAGCCACTAAGCCACATCACCAGCCCTATTTTGTATTTTATTTAGAGACAGGGTCTCACTGAGTTGCTTAGTACCTCGCTTTTTGCTGAGGCTGGCTTTGAACTCAAGATCCTCCTGCCTTTGTCTCCCAAGCCACTGGGATTACAGGCATGCACCACTGTGCCCGGCCAACCTTGTACACTTTTTGGGAGTTAGGGCATACTTGGAATCACTATTCTCCTAAGGTGAATGCTCCCTTAACTGCTGCCTTCTGCTTTGCTGAGAAGCATGTACAAACTGGGTGTCACAACCAGTGGGCTCTTCTTTTTCACCCATGCTTATCACACTGTTTGGTGACATTGAACAAATTATCAATGAATTTTTTTTTTTTTTTTTTTAATTGGTGGTGGTGCTGGGGATTGAACCCAGGGCCTTGTGCACAGAAGGCAAGCACTTTACCAACTGAGCTGTATCCCCAGCCCCGCAATGAATAATTTTTTAAGGATTATCAAATTAGGAACTTTCCAGGTTGTCCACAACTTTTGAGTCTGGTCCTAAGTCTGGCATGATACTATAACAAGGATAAGGACAATCTAGAAACCTTGTTCTTGTTTAGAAATGGTTTTGAAGGCCTGGGGTTGTGGCTCAGCGATAGAGCGTTTGTCTAGCACGTGCAAGGCCCTGGGTTCCATCCTCAGCACCATATAAAAATAAATAAAAATAAAGGTATTATGTCTAACTACAACCATAAAATAAATATTATAAAAAATAAATGGTTTTGCATGTGAAGAACACAGATTTTGAAGCGAAGATTAAGTTCTCAGTCTTGACTCCACCTCTGCTAGCTCCATGTAGTTCTAGCTAAATCTCACTCCTCTTAGTTTACAGTTTTTTTTTTTTTTTCTCTTGGAGAGCAGAGGATTGAATCCAGCAACAACTGAGCATCATCCTAATTTTTTTAAATAGAGTCTCATTGAATTGCTCATGCTGGCCTTTGCTTCAACTTCCCAAGTAGCTGGAATTATAGGTATGTACCACCACCATGCCCAGCTAAAACGGGAATGTTGACTGCAACCAAAATGACTCCAAAAATATTAAGTGAAAACTATGGGAAATAGAATATTTCTGTTTCAGAATCTGGCTTCTAAAGCTAAAAGTGGTGTGAAACCATCTCTGGGTCTTGCCCACTCCCTCAGGTTCATTATGAGGCACTTACAGAGATCTTTGACACAAGCATACTGCTGGTTGCTGTAGAGTGGGGAGCTATAGGCCCGACGGAAACCAGGTGGCTGTAGGATGGGATGGGGGGCAGCATTAGAGATAGCAAGGTAGGGCCCAGCACCCCACTTCTCCCATGAGTGCTTACCCCTTATCAGAGTAAGAGAGATGAGCCGAGAAAGCAGGAAGATGTATGGGATGACTTGAGGGACCAACAAGGGGGTAACTGGAAACATGTGCCCTCCCTCTTACTCTCTCATTCCCCAGACCCTACTCACGATCTTGCCGAAGCATCTCTGCATCTCCACATAGGATTGACAATGTTCATGGATGTTGGTTTTGCAGTTCTTACAGCGGAGCCCAAATTTGTTATTGACTTGGGAGGGGGAGAACATTGGGTAAGAATCCAGCTTGCCCTTTCCCTTTGTACCCCACAGTTACTCTGTGCTTCCCTCTAATCATATTTTCATAAGCTGAATCTTGACACAGCCCATCTATCCATTGCAAATATTTTTCTCCTACAACCTGTCCCCACCCTCTGCCTTCAACATCACATTCTCTCTACTTCCCTTTATAACTCACGCACAATCATCCGGGCACAGACATCACAGAACTTTGGCTTCTTGAAGAAGTGATCTTTGAATTTGTGGGGCTTGTCATTGATAAGCTTAGGAGGTTCTGGGGGTGGCTCCTCCTCTTCTTCTTCTTCCTCCTCTTCCTCATAGATGTAGTAGATGGGCCCACCCCCAGCTCCTACTGCCTCCCCATTGACCTGGGGCTCTGGGGGAAGCTCCATCTCCTTTGTCCCTGGAGACCCCTTCCTGAATAACTGCTTCAGCCGCTGTAGCTGAGGGAAGGAGTGAAGGAAATCCAGTGTTAAAAGGACTTTTGCTCTTTCTAGGGTAGCTGGAGTCAAAGCCAACTGGACATTTTCCTAACTTGGGTCAAGCAATCTGCCCCAGGGTTAGGGGTTTGGGGTACAGGTGCTGAATAGCATTCTAAAAATAAATGAGTCATACACAAGTGGGGTCATTTTAAGCACTTTCTTGTAGAAGCTGTAATGGCTTCCCAGCCGCCCACACCCAGTGGTGAGAGGCCCAGACTCACCCCACTTTGCGGAGTCTCTGTTGGGAAGGAGGGCTTAGGGGACTCCAGCACCTCCTTTTCTGTCATCCTGCAAGAGGTTGGACCCCACTATGAAATCTAAATTTTGACTGCCATTCTTCCCTCCCTTATTTCTATCCCTTAAAGTACGGTGGTCCTTGAAGGGGAAGCTTTGGGAGAAATTTGGGTAGACAGAGATCTTTCAGTAGGGCTTATGAACAGAAATATTTCATGAAGATCTAGAAAAAAGACCAACAGGCTAAAGTTTCTCACACTAATACCCATCCTTCTGCCCCAAGGGGTAGCCCCAGAGTTTACAGCCCCAACATAATATTTAAGGCTGTCTGGTTTCACGCATTTTCCTATTCATGGGGAATAGAAATGTGACACACCTTTCCACATCCCCTCTTCAAGAAGTTTAACATTGCATTCTGGAGTGCACACATGGAAGGATGGACTGAGACATTTCCTTCCCCTCTTTCCTGAACCCTGGGGCCCATGCCTAGTTCTGTCCCAGCTTGCCTTAGGCCTCAGCTATTTTAGGTTTTCAGAGTAATATGAGCCTTTCCTTCCCTTACTTTATTCCCTGGACCCCACCCCACCCCCACCTTCAATCCTAGCTAATCCTGGAGTAATAATTTCACTTCTAAAACCCAACTACTCACAGATAAGGAGAGAAATGAAGAAGCTGAATAGACTATGGATTGGGGAGAGCAGTCTTGGAAATGGAAAGAGGATGAAGGGGAAACTTACGTTTGGGATTCCCTAAACCAGTCCACCGTCTCTGGAGGGAAGAGGGAGACCCTGAGGCCTGAGGTGGTGCTGGGGAAGGACTGGTCCTCTTCCTTGGGGGCTAAGCCCCCCCAATACCCTCCGTACTCACACCAGCCACCCAGACGGTATTTTGTAGGCCGCTAGCCTCTTGTCTTGGTGTCAGTGTGAGATGACAGGGCTGAAGGAAAATGGACAGCTGAACGGCACAGCTGACACAGAGAAATTGGACACGAGAGGAGGTCTGGGGCAGGGCTGGACCCTAACTCCTCCCATCCCCCAGGGTTGTCCTTCCCTGATTCTTATGGTGAGTAGGTCAGTATCCGCTAGTCAGGAAGGGGCAGTTTCTCTTCATGCCACATACTTGAAGAGATTGTATTTGGTGGCGTGGGTGGGTACTGAAGATTGAAACCAGTGGCACTTTATCATCTAAGCTACATCCCCAATCCTTTTTTTTCTTTTGAGATAGGGTCTCACTAAGTTGTCCAAGCTAACCTCAAATTTGCAGTCCTTCTGTCTCAGCCTCCCAAATTATAGGCATGAATCACTATGTCCAGACTTGTTTGAGGGGATTTTAGATATCTGAAGGTGAAGTCAAGATGAATTAAAAAACAATTTTCCAAAGGTCCCAACAGGTTCCCAATTCTACCTTCCCTAGGCTACCTAAGTAGACATATACTCTCAGCCATTGTCTTCCCGTGGCCACGTGTTTATATACCCTCAAACATTGATCTCACTTCAAGCCCTTAGTCTAGGAAAGGCCTGGGAACTGGTGAGGAAAGGATAATTTGGATTCTCAGAGCTCTCTTATCAGCCACATTAGATTGATTTCTCATCTGTGGTGGTCAGGGGCACGTACTGTCCTGTAAGGGAATGAGGAATAAGTAGTACTCTTTGTTCCTTTCCACTGCTCCTAGAGACTTCTTTCTCCCTATTCCTCTAAAATCTTGTCCTCAGGGTGAAGGAACTATAAGAGTTACTGAAAAAGAGCTGGAGCCAGTATAGTGGCTCACAGGCACATACACACAACTCAGAAGGCTGAGGCAGTAGGATTCCAAGTTCAAGGCCAGCCTCTCAGCAACTTAGCAAGGCCCTAAGCAACTTACTTAATGAGACTGCCTCAAAATTTGAAAAAGGGCTGTGGATATAGCTCGGTGGTTAAACACTTCGGGGTTAAATCATCCACAGTACCAAAGCAAAACAAAAACAAAAACAAACAATAAAACACCTAAAAAAAGGGGGGGGGCTGGGACTTTTATCTGAGGGTATCTGGGGAGTAAGAGTATAAAACCCAGGTAGAGGCAACCCTTGACAAGTTTAGGGAATGTTTAATCATTTGTAAGTAATATTCTCTTCCCCCCCCTTTTTTTTTTTTGTGTGTGTAGTGCCAGGGATTGAATCCAGGGACACTCACTGTACCTGACTTATACCCCTTAGCCCTTATTATTTTTTGAGACAGGGTCTCACTAGATTGCCTATGCTGGCTCAAACTTTTATTTTTTTTTAGTTGTAGATGGACACAGTACCTTTGTTTACTTATTTTTATGTGGTGCTGAGGATCAAACCCAGTGCCTCACACGTGCGAGGCAAGTGCTCTATGCTGAGCCACAACCCCAGCCCCTCCCCGTATTATTTTTTTTAATAGTTTTTTAGTTGTAGATGGACACAGTATCTTTATTTATTTTTATATGGTGCTGAGAATTGAACTCAGTGCCTCACATGTGCAAGGTGGGTGCTCTACCACTGAGCTACAGCCCCAGCCCCATATTTTGTTTGTTTATTTTTAAATATTTATTTTTTAGTTGTAATTGGACACGATAGCTTTATTCTATTTATTTATGTAGTGCTGAGGATTGAACCCAGGGCCTGGCACATGCTAGGTGAGTGGTCTACCACTGAGCCACAACCCCAGACTGTTGTTTACTTTTTTTATGTGGTCTGAGGATCAAACCCAGTGCCTTGCACATGCTAGACAAGCACTCTGCCACTCAGCTACAGCCCCAGCCCTGGGCTCAAATTTTTGATCCTCCCGTCTCAGACTTCTGAGTTGCCGGGAAAGCACCATTGCACTGGCAGAATTATAGCTCTTTTTTTATTCCCTGATTCTACCTCTTACCTCTGATGTCCTAATATATGGCATTTTTCTCTCACAAAGATACAGCTAATTGGACTGTGACATGGTTGAAAGACACTATCTTCAGAGGGTAATGGAGGGCTGGGGATATAGCTCAGTTGGTAGAGTGCTTGCCTCTCATGCACTATCCCTTGTATTTGTGAGACAAAAGACCACATTGGAGGTTGGGTTAGACAATCTCTAGGAGGAGCTTGACTAGAGATAGAGCTACCCAGGCCTAGATTTCCAAGGCAATGTCATTTTTACTCACTGCTCTTTGCTCTCTTTAAGAGGTAGATGAAATTGAAAAGGGAATTCTGAATGGGTGAGTCTAGTTTTTTTGGGGCGGGGAGTGGGATTCAGGGGAGTGAACCCAGGGGCACTTAAGCACTGAACCACATCCCCAGCCCTTTTTTATTCTTTGAGACAGGGTCTCTCTAAGTTGCTTAGGGCCTCACTAAATTGTAGAGGCTGGCCTTTAACTTGTAATCCTACTGCCTCAGCCTCCCAAACTGCTGGGATTACAGCATGCACCACCATACCCAGCAGTCTACAGCCTCTTTAATGGTTCTCCTCTGAAGGGTTGCAGAACAGTATAGCCCAGAGGGTCCGTAGGTAGAAAGTTCTATCTTGCAGGCAGGTTACTTCTGCTCTTCATTTTTCTTCAGCTGCACAGGACAGAGACTGCTGAACACACATGGGCACTACAAGTTCAGTTGATATAGCTTTTATTATAAGAAACCTCTAGTTCTGTTTCTGCCAAGTAGAACCCAATCTTCTGGGCTTTCGGACTAAAGGCCCAGGTTCTCCATCTCTGAAAGTTTTCAGAAGATTAGATAGATAGGAATGAGGATAGCATCTCAACACAGTTCTAGACTTCACTCATCCCTCCCCAGATCAGTTGCAAAGGCTCTAAATGAGAATTAACAGGATGGAAGCAAACTCTTGGGACACAGAGGTTCAGAGTAGAGAAGTGACATGTTTGATGAACCAGTTTGTAGCAGAGGTGCAAGAGCCCCAAACCAAAGTACTGACAAAACTTAGCCTTCTATCAAAATTGAGTCCAGGGGAGAGGGAGGAATAGTGTTAGGGAGAGGTATGTGCACATGCTGGGGAAAGCCATCCCAACCCAACAACTACCCTCCCCAGCTGCCCACAAGCTATAGGGGTTATACCTACCCAGGGTCTTCAACCCACACCTCACCCTCCCATACACACCAGGGCGGCAACAGAGAAACAGTGACTGATGTCCAGTGTCAGTTTTTTTTTTTTTTATATTTAAAAACAAAATCAACCTCCCCCCAAGTAATCCCCCAAACAAACAAACAAACAAAAACCAGATTAAATAAAATTTACAGTGAATATACCCAGCAAACATCTGTATGTGCAATTAAATACTGTGTCTGTTACTGTGGCACAAACCTCAAACAAACAATATACAAGTGTTCTGGGGGTAAGGGGAGTCCCAAGTTTTAACTCTGGGGGGTTTGGGGAGACAAGATGGGGGAAGTAAGAGAATGGGGAAATCAATTTTGTTTTTCTTAATTCTGTCCATATAAATATACTCATAAAGACCAAAAAAGGAAAGGGAAAATAGGATGGAAAGGGAATAAAGAGGGGAGTGTGGGATGCTCCCAATTCTACCTGACCAAAAAAATAAGAAATTAATTCTGTGGTGGAAGAAGAGATTAAAAAAATGATAGAAGAGGATGGGAAGGAGAGGGAAGCAAAGGGGGTCCAATCAAGGAAAAAGAGGGGACCCATGGCAGGGAATTGGCAAGGAGTCCAGTGCCAGTGTGAGTCTGTTTCCCTCTTCATCCCTAATGTCTTAGGCCCCAGTTTGGCATCTGTCTCCTTACTTTCTGCCTCTGTTCCATCTGGGTCCTCTCCACTCTGTCCCCAGGCCCTATTGTGACAGTTCCTTCCCCTTCTCCATTTATTGGGAGCTGGCTCGCTCCAGGATCCTCAGGTCATAGTTCTTTTTGGCCACTCGAAGTTTGAAGCGACTCACAGAGTTGTTCAGGCGAAGGGAGGCATTCTGGGCAGCCAGGGGGCTGGGAAACACAGCCACAATGGTGTAAAAGGCAGCGAGGTCTGAGTGGCGGCCATTCTCGGCAGTCCCACTGTTGTCCCCTCCACCCCCACCAGGCAGCCCCTGAGCATCCTTGAGCCACTGGATCTTGGCGCCAGACATGGCGAGTTGAGTGAAGAGTTTGTCTGCCTCAGTACGAGTGATGCCTTCAGGAAGATCTGTCACCTCCAGCACGCGCCCAAGGACTGGAAGGGGAGGAGAGAAGATATTTTGTGAGAGATAGGGTAAGAAGGATTGGACAGCAGCTGGGCAAAGAAATATCCAGCTAAGTCTGTATACAATGTCCTTAAAAGCTTTGCCACTTAGCCCTTTCCTCCCCTTCCCAATTCAACCCAATACCCCTTCCCTAAGACTTTGATCAGGGAAACTTAACAGGGGGAAAAAAGCAAAACTCTCTTCACCTAACCCAAAGACGTAGCTTGTAAGAAGGGTCTGGGAATCAGAATCCCAGGCTTATGATCTCAGGACAAATACCTGTGTTCTATCATCAGGTGTCACTTTTTTTGGGGGGGCGGGGTATTAGGGACTGAACCCAGGGGTGCTTATCTAATGAGACACATTCCCAGCCCTTTTTTATATTTTATTTAGAGACAGGGTCTCACTAAGATGCTTAGGGCCTCACTAGGTTGCGGAGGCTGGCTTTGAACTTGCAATTCTCCTGCCTCAGCATCCTGAGCTGCTGGGATTACAGGAATGCGCCTGTGGGTTTTAAATAAAGAGTGGGTTTTAAATAAAAAGTGAACAGAGAAATGATGCTCCACCCCCAGCAAGGTGTTATTCTTATGAAGGAAATATTTTTGCTTGTGGTCTTTAGTAGATCAATCTGAAACATGTTCCTTTTCCACCCAGAGGCTGCCCCAAATAGATTCTTCCTCCTTAACATTTTGGAAAGTGAGTTTCCCTTCCTTTCCTTTCAGTTCAGCTAACTGCTGCAAATAGGATTCTGAGAGACCTTGTATTCATAGCATGGAAGGGCCTGTAGGAAGAAAGTTACTTCTTCCATAATTCTCTATCAGTTTCCTCCAAAATCAAGTCTAGCACTACCCAAAGGTAGATGTCCAGCATTAAGATCAGGACTGCTCCCAGGAGACAGTTGGCTAATAAGAGGCTCAGCAATTCCCATGACTGTGCTATTCCCAATTTTTACTGTGATCTGCCTCAGGACCCAGAATGGCTTGGTAAGGGGACTGAGATACTCACTAGTGCAGCTTTTGTTTGCTCTTGAGCACAAAAGGCTCGATTTCTATTCCCCACCCTCAGTTGGATTTCCTATTCATCCTGGACTGGTACCAAAGGGCTAGAGAGCTGGGCACTTTCTCTTAGGGATTTGGCCTTCTGCCACTCACCAACATCTGCTGTGCCCAGGTCAGTGGAGGCAGATTTGAGTGCTTGTCTCTTGCTGCGGTTTCCGTGCTTCAATCCACTCTGTCCCTTCAACATTTGAAAGATAACTCTCACTCCAAGTAAATAATAATGACCACCTTGTTTTTCAGTATCTGCTTGAGAGACTGAGTAGAACCTAACCATGAGGAGTCCACTCTACAAGGTGGATTGGCCAATGAGAAACAAGAGTCCATTTTTTGTTTGTCCACACAGCTGGTTGGAGCAGATAGCTTACAGATAGGCACCCAGATGAGAAAAGGGGGCAGTTCTGATGGCCCTAAGGCGGTGGACACCCTTACCTGGTGTACCGTGTAAGTTGACTGGCTGTGAAGCAAGGGAGGGCAGATGGATAGATTGTACTGTAATGGCTGGCCCAACAGGGAGTAGCGCCCATCACCTAGAGAGTAAGAGCAGATGGTTTTCTGAAGTTTGAGCTTTACAGTTTAGTTATTATGAAACTTCAGGGGGCTCTGGAATTGAAGAGCCATAGTGTATACTATTCCTACCTTTTCTATAATGACCCACATGTCTGACTTAAGGGCTGTCTTTCTTCCTAAACACCTTGGCTTTCAGCTGTATCTCCCATTGTTGTCTCCCCATTACCCCTGCCAGGCAGCCCTGAGTATCCTTGAACCACTGAATCTGTGTGCCTGAGTGAAGTCTGTCTGCCTCAGTACAGGTGATGCCCTCAAGGAGATCCATCATCTCCAGCACTTGCCCCAGGACTGGATGGGGAGAGAGAACATTTCTCCATTTTGTACACTGTGTCCTTTGTCCACCCAGGTGGGTGAAGCAGATGACTCAGAGATAGAGGCTCAAAAAGGGTTGCTTTCATAGACAGAAACCAACAGAAATGATAAAGAAAGAAACCTATAGACCCTTGGTGAATGTCTTTTATCTCTTATACAGATTTCCTCCACCCCCAAACCCAAGGGTCCAAGTTCCTTATGCATGTGAGAGGTAATACAGTGTGGTGGATGAGAACACAGCCTTGGTGCCAGATTGCTTAGATTAAAATACTGGCTCTGCAACTGGAAATATGATGTTGGGATGTTTTCCCCTCTTTAGTATTGCTGGAAGGATAAATGAATAAATGAACATAAAGCACTTATCATATTAAGCACCACAAGTGCTACCTATCACCAATAAAATGTTACATTTCAGAGCACTTTAAAGTTTTAAAACCATATTCTATAATCTTTTTTTTTTTTTTGGGTACAGGGACTGAACCTTGAGATACTTAACCACTGAGCCACATCCCTCAGCCCTTTTTATTTTGAGACAGTGTGTCGCTAAGTTGCTTAGGGTCTTGCTAAGTTGCTGAGGTTGGCCTTGAACTTGTGATCCTCCTGCCTTAGCCCCCCCCCCCCCCACCAAGTTGCTGGGATTATAGGCAGGCACCACTGTACCTGACTTCTAATCTTATCTTTTATAT